TGGCTGTGAGCATGAAAGGAGTTAAACACAGATGCTCCTGGGCCCAGCCCGGCACGAGGGACACCCAGGAAACACCAAGCAGCGGTGGTGACCACGACGATGACACAGCAGCCTCAGCTTGGGGGCCCTCCCCCGGGCAGTCACTGCCCCTGCCTCAGCCAGGGGCCCTTGGGCTGGACCGTACCTGCAGGAGAGGGCACAGGTGCACACCCCTACGTGTCCACAGTGACGTCTTGCACCTGTGTGGCTCCCACATCCAGTGCGCCAGGCTCCCCCAGCCCCTACCAGGTGTGCCCGGAGGGTCCCCAGCCTCGAGCCCCTCGCTGTGGTGGGTTCTGCGGCTCTGGTTGGTATTGGAGTCTTGGACTCCTCCACAGAGACTATGCCTCATCTTCCCAGGGCAGCAGGACCTGAAGACATTCTGAGGCTCCCAGGGCAGCAGACACTCCAGGGCACTCTGCTCTGCAAGGGTGGAGCCTGGGGGAGGAGGGGCCTCCAGGTACAGGGAGAAGGAGGGGGTCTTTGAACTAGGCCCACCAACCCCGCCCTGGGACCAGAGGTCATGGGGCTTACCTGAATAACTGGGGAGGACACAGACCTCTCCGCCTATCCCCACCTCCAGCACCCCCCCCCGCCGGCACAGCCTACCCAGGCATCCTTCCTTGATACCCCACTTACAGGAAGGGCAGACCCCCGGGGCTGGGGTTCAGGGAGGCCAGGTTCAGGCCCACTTGTGCAGGTCACCCAGACAACCCCACGCTAAGGAGCTAGTTCCTGGGCACTGCACCCTTCCCAGGGCTGGACGGACACTGCCTCCCCAGAGCTCAAAGCCCCGCGTGGCCACAAGTCGGTGTGTGTGCAGCAGGGGCCCTGATGGGGCCCTCCCTGTGAGGGGCGGATGGCCCTGGGGCTGCCCTGCGGCCCCAGGGAGAGTCCTGGGTCCCCCCCTGGGAGCTGGCCCAGAGGCCCTGACCGCCCACCTTGCTCTCCCAGGTCCGTCTTCTCTTGTCACTGACGTGTCTGAGTTAAGAGGCAGCTGCTGGGCAAGTCGCAAACACCAGGGTCCGTCCCCATAGCAGACACGGGAGCCTGCCCCCACCCCAGCCCCTCCGCCCAGGCCATCACTTTCCCCAAGGCCCCCACAGGCAACCACTCATGTCCTGGAATCACGGAACACAGCTCTGTCTGGTCACCAGGGGGTTAACAAGCCAACCCTCTAATCTGCCCGAGGCCTGGGGTAGGGTCCCCACCTCAGAGCTGCTTCCCCCTGGCCAGAGAGAGAAGCCTGGGGGCGCAGAGGGTCACGAATTCCTCCCTGCCTCCCTTGCCCATCCCAGCAGCCCCGTTCTCAGGGCCCCAGCACACAGCTCCACCGCCTCCACCTGGCTGCAGCGAGATCCTGGGGCCCAGCCCTCTGCTCCCCTCACCTGGCTTCCCTCAGCTTTTGCCCGGTGCCTGCCGAGCGCCCACTCTGTGCACATCCCAGGTAGATGCTGCAGCTCTTTTTCCCGCTAACTGCGCCCAAAGCCAGTGTGAGGAGTGGGCACGACTGACACCCCCACCTCACAGCTGAACGGAGACACAGAGGCTCAGGGTCTGGTGGGGAGGCAAGGCAGGGACGCACAGCCACAAAGCATGATGAGGCAGAAGGCAGGGGAGAGAGTACTGCATGGGGAAGGCCACAGAAAGGAGGGGACTTGCGAGCAGGGTGCTGAGGGATGTATAGGAGTCCAGCAAGTAGAGAAGGCAGAGGAAGGGTCCCCCTAGTTGAGGAGCAGCACGGGCAAAGGGCCAGGCACAGGCAGCTTACAGCAGATGGGCTGGCGGGGAAAGTGAGGTCCTGATGGACTGGGGCACCTGGCTCCCTCCGGAGGAGCCCAAGGAGCCTGGCTGGGGCAGTTGCACAGAAGGATGACAGGTCCTTAGCCTGAGAAAGTGACTTGGCGGGTGAGGGAGGCTGGGCAAGGTGTGGGCAAGTGGGGAGAGAACTTGGCTTTGAGTTTCAGCTGAGACACCTCACTTTTTGGTTCAAGGAGAAGAGATCGTGAAGGCGTCCAGACGCTGCACAGATACCAGTGCCCCTCACCCTGTCACTGTGCCCCATGGCTGGCAAGCATCAGCAGGTGTCAGCTGATCGGATGAGGAAATCCCACCAGCAGCCTCTGCTTCTACTGCTCCGGGGGCGAGAGCCCACATCCCACCTGGAGCGGCTGCTGCACACTGAGACTCCCTGAGCAGCAGCACAGCCCTGGCACCCCACAGAGAGCCCTCGTCCGGGCCAGCCTGGGACGTGCCTTCAACGCCTCAATCTTCCGGAGAGACCAGGGATTTAGAGGCGGCTTCTGCCACCCCACCCCCACCTCAGGAAATAGTCTCAGCCTTTTAATTATTTTCTTAAATGTCCATTTAAGAGGTTTATTAATACAGGAGAAGTGGCTGGAGACGGCTTCCTTGCGTACGTTTTGCGTCCTTCCAGTTTTAACCACCTTGTTTACCAATGTGTGACCTTGGCGGGGTTTCTAACCTCTCTGTGTCCTATTTCCCCATCTGTAATAGTAACAATAATAAGCTTCTCTACCTTAATGAGGGTCGGTGTGAGAATCAAACGGAAGCATCACAGGGCAAAGCACAGCACCCCCCCGGGTGTTCGTGTCTCCAGGTGAGAACACCAGCCCCTCCCCCCCAGCAGGGTCCCAGGTATCTTCCATTCTCATCTGAACCCTTTTTTGGCAGGGTGGAGGGGATGTCTCAACTCCCGGCAAGGTGACTCTCCTCTTTCCTCCTCACCCCCGGAGCTGGCAGGGCATCTCCCCATGTCATTCAAACTCTCTCCTCGGGGCTCCGAGGGCGGCGGAAGCAGCGAGGGCTCAACCAGCGTCACTGCGCTGTGGCCCTAGCACAGCTGCTGGGTCTGCAGGTGGACCTCACCAGGGAGACCGCGTCCTCCAGCCATGCAGGGCCCCTGAGTGCACCCGGACCTCCCTGGGCTATCCTGGGGCTCACCATGAAAAAGAGAAAGACAGGAGACCCACTGGCGAGGTCTGGAGGGATTGGGGCGGGGCGGGGTGGGGCCAGTTCGGATCCCAGAGGGGAGCGCGTAGGGAGTCGGTACCATGGGAGCCCATCGCAGCATCGTGGACCCAGGGCCCTGAGGGCGGGAGAGGATGGAGTGACCCTCAGTGGGTGAGCATGGGGGGAGGGGCAAGGAGCAGAGCATAAAGGGGGTACCTGAGACCCTACTTCCCCTCCCAGTGGCACACACAGGCTTGTGAAGAGTCCGGAGCCGCCTGGAACCTTCTGTGGGACCCCCTACCCAGGATGAGAGTAGGCGCCTTGCCTACCACCTTCCAGAGCCCCTGAGTGGCCCAAAATGTGCCCTGAATTCTGGTCTGGTTCTGGAGCACATGGAGAGGAGAGAGTGCCAGGCCTCCCCACCCCTCTACAGGCTGAAAGTGCCCTGGCCTGCAGTCCATCCTTGACACAACAGAAGGGACAGCCCGTTTCTGCAAACGAAAAACATTCATGGCCCCGAGCACCAAGCACCGAGGCCAAGGGCCACCTGGTGAGCCCTGCTCTCACCCAGCCTTGTCACCCAGAGCCTGCTGTGCACTCGGAGAGTGCTGGTAATTCCAGTGAAGCTGCCTGGGAGACCTGTTTCTCCGAGGTGCTGGCACCATCGAGCCCACCCAGGAAGTGCCAGGGGCCACCTCCAGACCCAGGGGGCCTCCCACCCATCCCACATTTCTGGTGCCACTTTGGGAAACCCCCAGGACCAAGTGAAAGTCCCACGTAGGGGTGGAGGCAGGGACCTGGGCGGTGACCTTGCGGAAGGGAAGTGCATGCGGATGGAGCCTGCCAACCCGACCTGCGCCCCGCAACTGGGAGCAAGTATGGTAGTTGCCTTCTTGGTCAGAAACTGAGGAGACTGGGATTCCGCCAGACTGTGCACATGCAGGGTTGTGGCACACGGGTTTGAGTCCACGGAAAAGGAGCTAGAAAGTCCCTTTGGAAGCCGGAGCTCTGTTCTGGACCCCAGACCAGAGGTCAGCAAGGGGTCTCCACCACCTCTACATCACTGAACGCATGAAGCCAGGGTCAGGGACTCATCCATAGACAGGGCACCAGACATTTAGCCAGTCTTAGGGGGAACCTGGGACTGGCGAGGAAGGAGGGCTGGAAACTTAAGAATCTCCGGAACAAATTTAGACGTCTCCACTCCGGGAGTACTCCGGGGCCCCACGGAGCACCTGGCCGGTTCCTGAGGCCGGCGCTGGCCGGGACTCGGCGCTGGGTGCCCCGCGCCCAGCGTTCCGTCGCCTTTCCCGCGGGAGCCCCGCGCGCCCTGCCTGCTCCGGTCACGTGCCACCTTGGCCGCAGCCCCGGGCTGACCCCGCGGGAGGGAGGGGAGGGCGCCGGGAGC